CCACTGGCACATATGCTATCTCATTTCAAGATTGGAACAGACATTTGGAAAAAAAAATAAGATGAGCCAGATTTGTTAGACATATTTTTCTCTCCAGTCAAAGTGTTGATGGTGATTCACAATTATTTCCCCCTGTTATGGCTTGTGTTTCTACCCAGATACTATTCATATCTCTTCCTGCTGATATAAACCAGAACACAACTTCACTTGGCCTTCTTACTGACTTGCTTTCATTTTTCGCCCTTATCATCACAAGGGTTTTGTTTCTGTCTGCATGTCCTAACCACAATTATCAGAGAAGTTGATGGAACTTGCTGTGCTTATCTTTATGAGTCCTTGTAGAAATGTCAGTAAATCTCTTTTGCTCTCTGTAGGTTGCATTTTTCAATCAAATTAATTAGTTTATTCATAGAGAAGGAAATCTTGTGTTATCCCTATGCCAGTTGTCTTCTTGTACTTCCACAGTTGGAAGTTTTGTCTTTTTATCTCCCTCACCTCCTACCACCCCAAGGGTATTCCAAAGCATAAAACAAAATAAAACAAAACAAAATAAAAATCTTTTAGCTTAATCTTCTTAAGCGTTTCTAACTTGGGCATATCAACAGACATTGTCTTGTTTTAATTATTTTATTTTAATTATGAAACCAGTGGCACTTAGTGCTCTCATTTCAATCTCATAAACATTGTTACAGATTTGTAATTGACTGATATCAGCTCAGTGGTGCCAAACTAGTTCATGCCTGAAGATGTCCTAACAAATCTCTTTATTATATTAGCTTTCACTTTATAAAATTCATGTTCATGAAAATACCAGAATTAGAAAGGAAAGAAATTAGAAAGAAAATAATTTTATGAGAATAGAATGAAAAGGGAGTTAGAAAGAAGGGAGATGAAATTGTTTGCTTATCTTTTTTTTACTGACATTTCTCTGTAAGCATGTTTTTAAATGTTTTAATTGCGGATAAGTAACTTCAGATGTAATTTTAATCACCCTGCTCATGCTCCCTTAGTGCATTGAAAAGACCCACAAACCTATCCTCTGAAAAAAAATAACTGAGACATTAGAAAAAGCTGGAGGAAAAAAAGGTAAATATATATATATGAGGCAAAGCAATATGGTAAGGTTAAAGCAATATGGTAAGGTTAAAATAACCCATGGCAAGTCATCTTATTTATAATGATGATTTTCTGTACATTTTGTAATAATTTTGCATTCACAAACTACTTCTTTTAATACACTACCTCAGTCAACATCTTTCAGAGGTGTACCAGACACATGGAATTGTTGCTGTTTTATGAAGCAGTAAAGTGAGGATCATAGTGGAAAAGTATATTACCCCAGCTCACATAAGTGTTTGAGAAAGTGAGACCTTATCCCTTAGGTAAATTGGAGTAGATTTTGTAAGGTGGAAATGAGGGTATGTTGTAACCTCTATATTTTTTAAATTTCTTGTTTTGTTTAATAGTTGTTAATGGGATAAATAGTATTTCCTGGAAGCAACTTGTATATAAAGGTAGTGTCTGTATGCACAAGGCGAGGATGTTTATTTCCAAAGTAAAAGGAATTTTGACTATTAAAAAGGCAAAAAAGGAACTAAAATATAATAAAGAATAATTGGTTTTAAAATTGACTACTTGGCTAAGGTACTGGAGTACATTCTGATCACAACCACCAGCTGGTCTGAGACATTAGCATCTCTTACCTGGACAATTGTGCTGGCCAAATAGTTATATAGTCCTCTTTTTTTCCAGTGGCCTTATTGAAAGATGTTCTTACGTTGTCTATCCCCTACTCAAAATCTGATGGCTTTTTATTGCAGATGGTCTAAAACTAAAAGCCTTTACTTTTACCTCGACTGACACTGCCATATGTGATCAGACCCCTGCCTATATTTCAACCCCATTTCTTACTTCAGCCATCAAACCTTTCAATCTGTAACTCTCCAGTTCTGCTGGCCATTTAGTTCCTGCACCAAGCCAAACTGTCATTATTTTAGGGCCTTTGCATTAGCTGTTCCCACTGCCTGAAATACCCTTCATCCTGATCTGCAAATAGTGGTTCCTTCTTGTCATCCAAATCTCAAACTGAATGGGACCATCCTTGAACATCCTTCCTGGATCACAAAGTCTAAAATAGCCCCTCAAAAATTCTCTATCACATTATCTTTTAATCTGTTCAGAAAATATATTCCTATCTAATCTGATATTTTTCCTGTGTTCTTTTTTTATTAGCTGTCAGCATCCGTAGAATATAAGCTTCATGAGATCTGAGACCATATGTCTTTTGATCATTACTGTGTTCCTGGTACTTTTAACTGTATCTGATAACTTGAGGCACTCCATTAATATTTGTTCATATTTGTAAATAAAGATATATACAATCTCAATCACAATAAATATATATCAAATATAGTTTGATGGTTTCTAGTAAATATAATGGTAGATGATACTTACAATTGCTAAGTGTAAGTATTCATAGATTTTAGTATAAGCTTATCTGTATGTACAATAAATTTTTTACTTTTGTTATAAGATATCAACTTAAGAATTCTGGCATGGCTTGGGGTATACATAATATGGCTACACAAATGTTAGTTATCATTTCTCATCACAAAACCTAGGCTTAGACAGAGATGATGGCTTCTGACTAGATGTATCCAAAGCCTGTCTTTGGGAAGAAGATGAAAAGCATGAACTAATCCATTTTTGTTTGCTAGCAATTTACTGCTCCAAAGTTATCATATGTTTGACAAAAATAACAAATGCTCCAAATTGAAGCCAATCATCAATATAATCATGAAAATGGAAACTGAACAGGTTGCAATTTATTTAGAACATTAAATAAAACCTAGAATTATTATTTTTTAAGTACTGACAACATCCTTTTGTCATAATCAGCTTTTGGTTTCCTCCCATAAAATCTGTCAAAAATCAGGTCCAGCAAAGTTTGCATAACAGCTTATCTCATTTAGAATTTAATAGGTTTTATGCATGAACACACACAAAGTTAGTGAAAGTAGTGTGGAAGACTCACTGTTATTTATAAACTCTCAAAATATTTTTGTATTTACTTTGCTTAAATAATACTTTGTGTATTTGTTTTTCAAGAAATTATCCAGAAAAGACTATTGCTGTAAGTGGTTCCATATAATGTCTCATTTTAAAAACTCCGTAAGATGTTTTAGCAAAACACTATGACAGCTAAAAGGTTATCCTTTCCTTCTTGATAATAATTCAAAAAGCTTCAACACAAACCAAAGTCCCCAAATCTTCTGTAAGGACAAACTAATTTTTATGTCAATTTTAGCTAAGTAGTAATGTTGTCATTTTAGCATCCCCATCCTTCAGTGGGGATGAGGGTAAGAAAATCAAGCTTACACACACACAAGTATGTGTATGCATGCGTGTGTATACACTGTTTGCCATCTGTCATTTAATTGTAGATATCCCTTTAATAAGAAGATTTTTTGAATGAACATTGAAATATTGTAATAATAGATAAAAGACTTGAACTTTCTTATGGTGCTTCAAGTGAGGCATGAAAGACTTGAATTTTAATTACAGATTGAATTCATACTTTCTTGCAATTCAATATCAAACTGCAATTAAGTAATTGATTAGTATAAATAGTTAATGCCATATTGTTAGTCCCATTGAAATAAGTGAATGCAGCAACAATAGGGGCATTTAGCTTCTAGAAGGGAATGGAAAATAGAGTGCACAAAGGAGAAGACAGTGGTGCTATTATGGAGAGGTCAGTAAAAGAGGAGGCTGGATTTTCAAAACTTTCCAGTTTTGTTTGATGTTGCTTTAGTTAAGTTTCACAGATCACTGCAAATAGAAGTTGTAATCTGAAGAATATTGGCATATCGCCACAAGTAGGCAGCTTATATCTTATGATTTATGATGATAAATGGGTGGAGTAAATTAGTTGACCTGTAAGGACTGGTAGAGGCCAGACTCAGTAGTTATACTTATTGTAACTCTCACCTCTAGGGTTACTCACAATCATCTCAATAATCATAGAAGGACAAAAATGTCAAAATGGACAGACTGGTATCTCCTGGCTTGGAATATACATATATCTTATATGTGCCTTATTTATTCTTTCAAAAGACATGAACTTAAAAATGTGTTTTTCCCCTCCCTATTGTCAAACTATAATTTAGTGCTGGAATAGCAATCCTCCTAGCATATCTAATGAGTTTTTTGGTACGATTTTAAAGCTTTTAATCTTCATAAATAATAACTAAGTAAACTTAAGGCACTTGGACAATTTCTTTAGCTTAATGTATTCAAATCCATAGTTGGCACTTCATTTCTTTTCATTTAAAAATAAATCTATCTTGTCTTGATAGTCTCTACATGAATACACACACCTAACAATATAAATCAAAGCAACACATCCAGAATATGAGATCTGCTTGTTACCCTTATAAACAATACACTATTTTCAGAAAGGTCTCAAAAACTCTTTTTTGATTGTCAATGTATATATTCCTAAAATAACTCATAGCCATACTATATATTTAAATAAGGATTTCCAAAAACTGTTGGGTAATTTTTTTTTCCAAGAGGATTTCCATAAACAGATGAGTAACTCTTTAATATTTTTGAGGGCTTTTTGTTTAGAAGAGAAGTTTCCTATCCACTGTAGCTAATAGGTCATTTTATGTACATGGTTTCCTGTGTATGCTTCCATGCCTTCTATAGTCACATTGTAAATTTTGTAGAAAAACTGGAAAACATTAACTATAAAAAAATTTAGGCAACTCTGTATCTGTAGATAACAGTCTACCTATACAACATCTCTACTTCAGTTACAAAAGTGAAAACTAAAATGTTATTGACATGAAAACCCAACCATAGTGTCCCCTGAAGAAAAAGCTACATGCTTTAGTAACAAACTGAGAATCCTGCCTTAACCATTAATCTGCACCAAAATAATAGTACAATTCTAAAATTGGCTATTTTTCTTAATTACAAATAAATAGACTTACTTGCTTTGTTTTTCCATGCTAGCTACCCTGAGGCATTCCCATCTTGAATTCAGGAGATTCATTTGTTCTTGTACTTCAGCTTCTTCATCTTCTGATAATTTCCCTGTTCCAATCAGTTGACTTCCCAATTGTAGAATGTGGCCAACCCGTCCCTGGTGGGCTGTCAAATCCATCATGTATCCCTGACAGTGAAAAATTAACAACTGTAATTAGAACTTTAGGTAAATCATTTTGGTTTTGGATTCTATTCATTTATTTTTTTGCAATTTTAAACTTGTAACCTATTTAGATTTATATTCCCAGTAAAAGTATTTTCATTTTTTTAAAAGAAAACTCAATACCATTTTTAATATGAATTAAGGAAAATTATCTTAGGTCACCTTCTGCAGAAGCAGACCCTGAGATAAGGATTTCGGTATAATTAATTTATTAAGGAAGAGCTTCCAGGAGTATCTATAAGAAAGTTAAAATAATGGGAAAAAGAGAAAGGAGGGAAGCCAAACAAGTATGTTATCTCAGGAAAAGTCCTCCACTGAAGGTAGTTCAGCCCCAAACCACAGAAGTACTCAGGAATGTAAGCTATTCCTCAGTATTACCTTGACACAAGAGAAGGAAGCTGGACTTTCATATTCCTGTATAGTCATTGGCAAACACTTTCTAGGGCTGTTCTCCAAAGGAGAACTTCAAAATCTGGCTTTTGAAATCCCAAGCACATGGACAATTGTTTCCATCTCAAAATAAAAAAATAAATTTCCAAAATACAAAGATCTAATAGAGAATTGAAAAAACAAAGACTTGCCCATTATGACAAGTCATGTGCTTAGTTTCATAAATCAATGTTTTGGTTTACCTCATGAGTATGAAATTGTTCTTTCACTTCTTCTACATCATTAGAAATCTCTCCCTGTGCTTGCAGTGTGTCCTCAGCAGAAAGAAGCCATGAGAGTACTTCTTCTAAAGCTGTTTGGTAACGGTCCAGGTTTACTTCAGTCTCCATCAATGAACTGCCAAATGACTTTTCTTCAGAAGCTTCCAAATGCTGAACAATAAAATAAATTGGGTATTTTACAATTAGTGTCTTTGCAGACTGTTCCAGTACATTAAATGATAAATCGAATCAAATATTTTAAATTCTAGAAACATCCACTTGCATTATTAGAGATGTGAACAGCAGACACATGTGATAGTGAAGCTGCATTTTAAAATCCCCACAAATACACACATAAATTCTCAAACAGCAGTCCAAATCCACACCAAATTAATATTTTATTAAAGCTCTTCTGGAATACTATAAAGAGTGAATTAATATGTCGTCTTTTCATGTTGCATTTTAAATGCTATGAAATTCATCCATAGGTTAACTTTTTTCAATTCATATTTATAATCCTTTACATATACATTATTGGAATCATATTTATATACTTTCACAATGGCATTAAAGAAAACATCTCTTCCTGAGAGATCCTAGATAATAAAATATTTCTGAAAGTTTACAGATAGACCAGTAAAGGTATCAGTAAGACAAAAATGGGAGGGGTGAAAGTAACATTTAAAATTCCTAACAGTATAAAGAAATATAAATATATAAATTAGTCTTTACTTACAGAAGGCCGTGGTTTAAACACCAAGACATTATCTTACGTGAAGTAAATTGTAAAGTATTTTCCACCCAATTTAATTAGTAGGATACTGAGATTCCAAATGGTTGTCTTGGAATTTCTACTATGACCCTAAAGCTAAGTGCCCATAACTTTAAAAAGAAGATCCCAGCCACCTATCAAGATATTGCTAAGAGGTCATCACAAAATTGGTCTCACCACTCTTAAATTATTATCTAGCTCAAAGGCATATAAGAGTAAACAAAGAGATTGACTGGAAAAATCTGATGAAAAAGAATTCCTCTGGAGCAGCTAGAGTGCTGTGCATGGCCACAACTTTTCACCACCTGAAGTCAAGTAACAGAGACAGGGTAATTTACATGGTGCAATATTGACCTCTGAACTTTGCTGTATGTTTGCAGAGATTCAGACACTATGGGATCCATACTATCAAGTGACAGGAGCGATGTCTTGGAATATCCTATGTGTCTACTGGTTTAACCTTAGAGCAATCATCGAGGGCAAAAATTTGAGTAAAAAAAAAACATCTGCATAAGTTTTTCTTTAGGTCAAGTACACTCATAGTAGGTTGCTGGGCTTCAAAAATCCTGAGAAGGACAATACTCAAGGGGGTTTGTACTGTGGTAAGAGACACAGGCTGTTTATAGACTTGAACAGAGCCCAAAATTATTGGAGAAATATTTGGAGAGGAATCTGGTGTGCATCCCAAATATTTCAAGCAAGCACTAGGCCATAACAAACAGAGTTTTGAAAATGAAACAAAAGACAGTGCAGAATAACCAGAAGCTACTTGAGGGATTTCACAATCTTGTCTAGAGAAACCCCAACCGTTGATGCTTCTCCCTTGATATGTCTGACTTGCATTCCCAGTCTTCCTCAATGCTTGGCTTTAACCCACTGAGCTGCAAGGACCAACTTGTTGGTGTTCTCCCGATAAATACTCCAATTTTGAAACATTAATATTGTGAATTTTCCCAACTGTTAAATCCTTTAAGATGATACAGCATAACGGTAGTTATTGATGTGATCTTTTCATCAAACGATGCACTCTTTTCCAGTTTATAGAGAACTGGTGAAAAATGGCCATCCTGGTAAGTCAAAATTTTCCAACTCTAGTATTTCAAACTAAGCATAAGTGCCCTGAGAGGGCTATTCCCACAGGACCCTCTCCTGGCCCCCACCTCCAGGGCAAGGGAATTTCTGAAAGTCATAGGTGTTAGAACAATTTCCATGATACATCCCTTCTCTCTATCTCTAAATACTATTAATAATAAATAGCAAAGTTGGCATTAAGGAGAAAAGTAACAAAAAGGTCAGCTGAGGGATGTGTGTAGGTGGAGGGCCATGAGCTCAGAAGGAACCCCTGCTTCTTTTATCTGCTGCTGCCATCCTGAAATTCTTAGTAATTTTATCTTTGAACTTGGGTTTTATAAATGAAATCCAGTGGGACACTGAAGTGTGCAAATGAGCAGAGGAGATAGGTGCAATATATACACCTGCCCCTTTTGCATATAGTGTTTTCAATGCCCTATGAGCACAGAATTCTAGTGGATTTACAATATTAGCAAGACTTTAGCAAGACTCAAAGAGGATGAGGTAACAGAGGTATGTCTATGACTGAGTAAATGAGGGCATTAACCCTTTGCACTCGCTTGCTTTTTTCTCGATTCCTTTATTCTACTCAGAGTTTAATTTTTTAAATAACCCAGATTTTACAAAGCACAGCAGTAGAATAAAAAACTGGAGTTTCTTTTCATACAAACTTATTTATTTGGATTTTTTTTATATTTCAAATTATTGATACATTCAAAGAGTAATTTTAATCTCTATAATTTTTCATGGTGTGAGATTTTTTGAAACATTCACCCACATGAAGACCTGGTTTACATTCACATGATTCACAAATATAAATCGTCTCTCTTCTTCCTCTTTTGATTTTTCTGTTAGAACAAACAGCACAATCTTTGTGTTTTTTGTTAGGGTGAGGTGTGATTACATGGAGCTTCCCATCTAAATATTGCTCTAAGTTAGTGGATAGTAATCCACCCCTGGAAGTTAGTGTACCATCTCTGCATTTAAATTTTACTTGTCTTTTCATGCTAATGAAAACAAGAAAAGATACTGGAAAAATAGACAAAAATCCCCTTTTCCCCCATGGTGAAACTACGTGTCGAGTGTGGCTCCACATACGAGCTGCTACCAATGCTAACTGTGTCGAGTCACACTCGACATCTGAGTCCAAAGGGTTAATAGCCCTAGTAGGTCAAACTTTCTGTTTGAACCAGACCTTGCTTCAAATGCAGAAAGAAGGCAATTCTAAGAAAACACCTATGGCCAACAAACTCTACCATATTCTTTTTTTTTTTTCTGGCATATTATGGGGGTACAGATTTTAAGGTTTCAATAAATGCCCTTTCCCCCCTCCCCCCACAAGTCTGATTTTCCAGCATGACCATCCCTTAGATGGTGGACATGTCACTCATTATGTATGTATATACCCGCCCCCCTCTCCCCTCCCCCCTCCCCAATACCCTATTACTGTAGAACATATGTGTCCACGTTAGGCTGCACTCAGTTAATACCCAGTTTGCTGGTGAGTATATGTGGTGCTTGTTTTTCCATTCTTGGGATACTTCACTTAGTATAGGGTTCCAGCTCTAACCAGGAAAATATAAGATGTGCTATATCATCATTGTTTCTTAGAGCTGAATAGTACTCCATGGTATCATATAACATTTATTAATCATTCTTGGATTGATGGGCACTTGGGCTGTTTCCACAGCCTTGCAATTATGAATTGTGCTGCTATAAACATTCGAGTGCAGGTGTCTTTTTTGTAGAGTGTCATTGGATCATTTGGGTAGATGCCCAGCAATGGGATTGCTGGATCAAATGTAGATTCATCACTGTATCGCTTTAAGGTATCTCCATATTGTTTTCCACAGAGGTTGAACTAGTTTGCAGTCCCACCAGCAGTGTAGGAGTGTTCCTCTCTCTCCACATCCACGCCAGCATTGTTATTTGGAGACTTTTTGATAAAGGCCATTCTCACTGGAGTTAAGTGATATCTCATTGTGGTTTTGATTTGCATTTCCCTGATGATTAGAGATGATGAGCATTTTTTCATGTTTGTTGGCCATTCTTCTGTTTTCTTTAGAAAAGTTTCTGTCACACCTTTCACCTCTCACAAAAATCAACTCACGCTGGATAACAGACTTAAACCTAAGGTATGAAACTATTAGAATTCTAGAGGAAAATGTTGGAAACACTCTCCTAGACATCGGCCTAGGCAAAGAGTTTATGAAGAAGTCCCCAAAGGCAATCAAAGCAGCAACAAAAATAAATAAATGGGACATGATGAAACTACAAAGCTTCTGCACAGCCAAAGAAACAGTCATGAAAGTAAACAGACAACCTACAGAATGGGAGAAAATTTTTGCATCCTACGTATCCGATAAAGGGCTGATAACTAGAATATACTTAGAACTCATGAAAATCAGTAAGAAAAAATCAAATAACCATATTCTTTCTTATTCATGTTATATTCCTGTAATAGCAGACCACTTATGCTAAAATTGATGATATCAAAAGAAAGAGAAAGATAGGGCAACCTATAGTTCCTTTTCATTTCAGTCCTTCTTTACTCATTAGTAAGCTGAAGGTAGAGTATTGGTGGAATGTGAGCAGAGCAAGAAGTGAAATAAAAACAGCTGAGTTAGTTCAGTGTTTCCACATTCTGGTAAGAATGAAATACATATGTATGTACTACCTCCAAGATATGAATTAGGTAATGATGGCGACTCTGCATGAGTTAAATGCTCTTATATTTGCATTTACAACTGGAATTGCACAATATAACAGTAAAATTTATGTTAATACTTTAAAATTTTAATTTTCTTTATTTAGTATGATGTTAAATAGCAAATAAAGACAGCATGGCAAGTCAAGAGAGAGCATGTGGAATAACAACTTCATATTTTAGTAATTTTAACAGCACTTTTTTTTTCCTGCTTTTTGAACAGGAGGCTCTGAATTTCCTTTTCAACTGGGCCCCAGACATAATGTAGCCAGCCTTATGTATAGGTATAAAAAAAGTACAATCCAGTCCTGCACATTTTGCCTTTTCCAGGTTAGAAGTGAGAGGAGATGAGAGATGTATTATGTGCAGTAGAATGTGGTTGTTAAATCCAGGGCTATAGAGACATACAGTTGGTGTTTATGTCTTTACTCTGACATGATGTCTTGTGACCCTGGGAAAATTACTTAGCCCTACATAAACCTTAGTTTCCTCATATGTAAAATGGGGACAATAATACTTCCCTAATAAGAGTGTAAGAATTAAAAGAGAGTGTATAAAATGCTTGACAGATTGCCTAACCTTGTATAAGTACCCAGTAAAGAATGTTAAAGCTGTATACAA